CACCACACGGACCTTTTGAACTTTTGAATATGGAAGAGTGATTTATAATAATAAGTTAACACGTCTCTCACACCGCTCATCTCATAATTATTTGTCATGGTTTTGAATTGAACCCACGACTACCAGCTTAACAGTCAGGATCTTAATAATCCACTAGACCTACAGGCCAGTCATTGTAGCATTTGCATATTTAAGAAATTAAAAATAATCTTTTAAACCCGCCCAGGTCTATTTGTTCCAAAGTCTATACGTCATTACGCCCATATTTGCACAGGGCATGCAGACGCCTAACGTAAATCGAACATCAACATCACACAAATTTGCACGATGCCCATTATAAAACATTCGATCAAGAACTGGAACTAATTTTGATACACCTTCATATTGAGATAGTGATCACATTTTTGAATCAAGATTGAGCATGTACGCAGTATTAAGTAGATGATTCAGAGCTATTGGATGAACGATGACAGTGATAGATAGTATAATATCACTATTAGTTTAGATATAAACTTAGTCTATACGTCTTTAAAAATTAAAAAATAATTATTATTATGGCATGTCACACATCTAGATATAGGATCTACTAGTTCACGAGATCGGGAAACGTATAAGTTGGTGTCTGGTATCGCATTTTGATACTGTATTATTCCTATGCTGAAATTCTTAAATCATAAAATTTTATAAAGAAACCTTTCACAAGCCTTGATGTATTTGTTGAATTTGAGTACAAGTTAGTAGATCATCTACGTACGTAATTTTAATTAAACTATTTGTTCTTTCTCTGTTTGTTGCTTGCTTCAGTACTGCATTTGTCATAAAACTATGATATTTATCTTAAAGACTTCATTAACTGTAACGCCATCTATTATAATTGCATCTTTATAACCACGACTCCAAAATATAATGGTTGCAAAAAAAACATGAAGCAAAAAAAGTATGCATCACTTTTTTAATAATAGCAGTGATTGATTGTAAAACATTATAATAGTTTTATTATCTACCTCCGGCGATGATAGAAAATTCCAATTTCTTGCTCAAAATCTTACAATGGATATACGCGTGACATTTATTTTAGGGAGCAGAGCACGACACGGTACCAAATCATAAGTTTTAAAAAATTTCAACGCTCAAATCCGCGCACCGTTCAATGCCAATATTAAACGGATTTTTTTATGATTCACGATTTCAAACTTTTTTATTCGATTGGGTGACAAAAGATACAAAAAAGTGGAGCTACAAAAACTCTTGCAGTTTAGTTCAACCTTATTGGAATGACTTAAGGTTAATTTTAGCTTTTGTGCATAGGTGTACCGAAGGGTTCATATCTGGGTCTTGGCCATTGGCTTCTGTAGTTTGGAAAAACGGTTTTCTGTATCGTTTCTCTGCTTTTCGTGGCACGCGCTCACCACCCGTCAAGCTCGATTTGAATATTATTTTATTTAGAGAACTTTATATCTTTATAAACAGTTATGATTGAATACATAGAAATACTAAGATTTTTTTCTATAACTTGACATGGGTCAGATATAGTTATAAAGAACGAAAATCTAGTAGTATAGTTTTGCTTTCTGCTGTTGTAGGGTCTTCAGAATTCTTTGGAGTAGGTATTGTTTTGGAAACCTACAAATTACATCACTTGTATTATTGAGTGTACAACTGCTTACCACAAGGGAGACCGGGTGCTTATTTGTAAAGCTAATTACATCTGAAAAGGGAACCAAACAGAATACACAGTTGCAAATACTTAAATACTGTTTAGTGCGCATACGCACTCAGGGTACTTTTGAGGCAGAACCGCAATAACCAGGAAGTGACTATTCTCGTTGACCATTTCTCAATGCAAGTTACGTTATATACATTTGAACTTACATCACTCTTACCAAATAAACGCGTAAACGACAATTTCGATGTTTGAAATGCTTTCATTTTTGTGCACAAGTTACAATATCAATCTGCCGTACTCGGGTAGCGTTTAGTAACATTGCCGGTTGATTTCTCGCTATTTACCTAGATTACTTGCTTTTTTTCAACGGTTGCGCCAATATTTAACGCATGGCCGCTACTGACATTGGCTTAGAATCAAGTTTTTGCCGCCAAAATGACGAACGCCAGGGCCGTCAGCGAAAAACCTCGGTCTTACAATACTGTCAACTTTTCATGAAATCACAAAGAAAAATATACTGTTATGTCCTTGCACGTTTCTGATTGAATTTTTACTAAAAATGATATCCACCAATCCACGGTTAGCACCTAAAGATTAGGATGCCGTTGTTTCCGGCAAAAAATTTTGGATGAAATGTCAAAGAATATAATGACATTGAAGGTTAAAACTGAAATAAAATCCAAACCAACCAAACCTGACGTTTTCTACACCAGTCAGTGCTAATTTGATTAAAGATTATTTTATTGTTATATTTTGTTGGTTACCTAAACTAAACTTTAGTTTTAAGGAAATCGTGCTTGAAGTTTTTGCCTAAGCTAATACCTAGTTCTCATTGTTATTTTTTTACATATCTATAACATAGAACAACAGCAGAATAATTGTTAAGAGATATTACAGATGAGAGACGTATACACATTTATAAAACATAAGGGTCCTTGAGATCTGGAGCTGTCTGGCTTTATTATTTGCCTTTCAAGTGATCCTTTACAATAACAACGCGTTTACATGGCTACTTATCACCAGCCAACATTCGTAAGCAAATAAAACATATTTAAAAAGCTAAACTAACCAAAAGCCCTCAAAATTGCTACATATTTTAGAATGTGACTAATCCAATACTCAACACTTAAAATATATTTAATATCTATTCGTAATTGTACAAGGACTTTGAATATTTTGAATAAATCGTAAAAGATCGTAATCAAATACAATTCAATTTTATTCTACAAGATTTGGTTTTAATTGTCAATAATCCGACTCAACAGGATTAATTAATACGCCTTAAAATGAAACAAATTGACAACGGTATTAAGTGTATAAGCGATAATTTAATTAAATAATAATTATAATTGAATTAAGACGGTTAAGTAGTAAAGTTAATGAAGTTATTTGTACCATTGAAAGTTAATCAATTCGGAAACCGACAATTTTGAATCTTTTCCTAGTTCAGTTTTTATTATTTCCTGACCAAGTTGTTATTTTTGTCTATTTCTACAAACATTGTAATCAAAATTGTTCATGAAATGTTTGTACTAACTTAAATGTGTTTTGTGCTAAATCTTCCGTTACTCATATCTGCATATTACATGTTCGATGATTCAAACTGTCCTGCTTGTTATTAATTACAAGACACATGGAAAATGTCTGTTAAGTTAAATCAATATTTTTTGAGTAAACGGCGAAACGTTCAGTACATTTTTGGATGAAATTCTAAAACAAGTCGTCACATGTCAGTGTAATCAAATCATTGACTAATAATGTTAATTTGATGTTTCTAAATTAATCGTAAGATCATTTTTGCATATGTTATGAATCACACAACCATAAAGCGGTAATACATTACATAACAATCTTATAAACCTCATTTACATAAACGAACCTTTTTGTACAATAAGATTTAAGTTGTAAAGGAACTTAAGTTGGCGTGATAATGGTATTAACAAATAATATGTGTCCTGTCACTCATATGTCACTTACATGACATGGATTTGCAGGAATGACATAATTTGCTGACTTAGTGGACATCTGGATTTTCCTCTAAGCGTTTTAAGAAAAGGCTTAAAATTGATGAATCTATTTTGATTGTGGGGCCGAGGCATTAAACATTTGAAGGTCTGTTTGTCTAGTGGTTAGTGGTCCTGACTGCTGAGCAACAGGTCATGGGTTCGATTGTTAGCCAGGACAAATTATAATGTGAGCATTTTACTCTGTGTCTTGGTGTAATTTATCAACTTTATATGTTTTATTTTCTTATGCATTATTTGTAAGGAATATTGAATTATGTATAAAAAATCAGGGTATTTCAGTTAAAGCAGGAAGGAGACGTAATTAATTTTAATAACGCATCAATACGTGTCGAAATCTAAAAAAAAATCATTCTTTAGCTATAAATATAATTTTGACTCTAAGTAAAAACATCAAATATTAACATTTACGTAATACCTTTTGCCCAATTTTTCAGTTGAAAAACTTGACAACGGCCATTTTGAAAGGCTAAGCTTTCGCGAAAATTAATCTGGGTTAGCAAAAACTACACCTTATTAGGGGAAATGCTGCCCTTAAAACCACCCTTGGTTGTTATACCCACAGATAAACAGTAGAATATATGCCTACAATTAATAATAATTTTGGGACAGCAAAAACTTGTGGTCGGCCCTTTTTGTTGTCACCCTACTGTTTTCGTCAGATGAGGGTTTTAAGAAAATTATTTTTCATTTTTTAGAAGGTTTAGAACTGTTCTTAGGTTTATATAACAAGCAAATGATAAGGCAACCCAATCCTTAAATACTATAAATGCTTAAGGTATACTAGATAAACTAGAAGAACAGTTTAAGTTTTTAATAAGATTTCTTGATGTGTAGTAGTCCGATGTTTAGTTTGACATAAAATTATTTGGACATTCACAGTTAAGCGCCCTCTTTCTCGCCGAGTGTAATTAAATTAAGAATAAATCTAATTTGATATGTCTGAATAAAGCTACGTGACTTAAGGTGAAACGGTTCTTATATTTTAACATGAGGTACTCTACCTATCTTAGTCTTGTCCAAAAGATCCGTAACATGAGGTTTTACATTAGTTACAAGTCACCTTCCACTAAGTAATTTGTCTCGTACAAAATTAAACCAGGCAACCCTAAAAATACTGTTTTTTTATCTTCTCTTAAATGTGTTCTCTTCACCAGTAACAGATGACCGGTGTTTATCAACCCTTTGGCCTTAACCCTTACCCGTGGCTAATCTTATCCTGATTTTAATAGGGTTATATGACAGCTGTCACGGGACGCTTTAAAATCTACCTGCTCTCGGACAGATGATACATCTTACATTGGTATCAGATGGTTGTCGCAATCCTTGTAAGCGACTAACACGTCATCTAAATAAAATTTTAGATAAATTCTAAAACCAACTGTATGAAAATATTAAATGATTGATGCAGTTTGAAATATATTTGTTGATTTTTCAATTATTGTGAAGTGAATTATAAAAAAATATGAAAGGTCTTTCTGAGAACACGTAACAAATTTGGTTAACCTTTCAAACCTAACATTAGGACTAATTATGATAATAAATCCAGTGCCACGCTTTGGTGGTTTCATTGTTTCTTACCCGCAATAAATACGCCTCTTCATATAATTACAGGTAATTATTGATAAAACTCAACAAATACATGCATCTCATGAGTGTAAATTTTAACTATAGGTGATGTAGTTTGTTTTATTTAGTTCCGCTTCCGAAAGACAACCATTATTTTATATATCAAAGAAGGTATAAGGCTAAAATAGCTACACTTACAGCATTATCTCTAATACAAAGTCGTACAAATATGAACTAATAGATAAAGAGAAAAATGTGCCTAGCTTATTGATATGAAATACTAAGCTTCTAAAATAAACCAAAATTCTATCTAATACAAACTATTAAACAACTAGCCAGAATAGCAAAAAACAAAATTTAGTGAAAAAATATTGCATATAGTAACATAGTATATCTTGTGGAACCAGTCTTCAAGGTCAACGTCAATGATACCGGTTTATTTTTAACATAACCACTTTGGAAGCCAAATTTTCTAGGTAATAAAGCATATTTTGTTGAATTCTGATTACTTTATAGCTAAAATGGCGTGTAAGAATCGTACTTATGTAAAAATAGACTAGATGGTTTAAAAACATATAAAAAATATTACTTTTAAAGGGTACTAAATGAAGTTGTTCAAATGCAAAATAAGATCTGGCACTATGAAGACACGTTAGAACGACCAAAATTGATCAGCAGAAATACTTTCAGTTATTATTGATACTTCGCGGCTTTGTTGAAATTCATTGTACTTACCAATTCTAACAATACATTTAAATCAAAGTTACACAGAATGATCGCTTTTATTTTTTTCAACGTCAAGTTCTTTCTAATTGTTAAAAAAATATTTTCCTTTGTAAAGTATCTTATTTATTCATTCAGTATTATTGTATAGGTACATAGTTTATTTTAAGTTTTAATTGCTTGTAATTAAAAGCAGATATATTTTGTAGTGAATTTTTAATTGACTTTTTAATCTACTAATGCCAGCACTTCTAATCTGTTTTAGTAAACTGTCTGCCGTTTTTTATATTTCTATTTATTTCTGTAAAATATTAGGATTGGTCTTTAATTGATAATTGGAGCCAGGTAAATGATAAAAGTATATCGTATGTCACTACAACTTTTATTCGTTACCTAGTGAAATTAATAATTTAGCTCGGCATAATACACGACTATGTTTGATTCTTTACAATACATTTATATTAAGTTTTAAATGTAAAGAATACTGTGTAGTAACAAACAGGCTGTAGGTACTAATTTGATACCCGACCTTCACTGTGTCTAATCTATTCGTACATAAGGTTCCATTATAACAGCATCCTTTACGAGTGACAACTGATTTTTCGGACCGAATTTCGAGACGTACCAATTTAACATAGATTCCTCAGCCGAGGTCCTTCACGAAGACCCATTAAAAGTCATCCACCACCTCGAATCTACTCGCTTACAACATTAAGTAGTGCTCCAAACTTTAATTATGTTCCATCTGTGACCAATTGCGTTCGTGTCTCGCGCTTCTCGCCAGTCATGCAACGTGCTACCGAACAAATCCGGCCAGCGGAATCAAAATCAACAAATCCAATACTAAAAGCAACTCTATCGGAACCTCGTTTAAATTTAAAATCGTGTACAACCTTCGTTTTATCAAATACATTCCCTAACGTCCATTGTTAAATTCTACCACCATCAGCATCACCTAATGGTAACAAAATTTCAACTTTATCTGCATTGGGTTTGAGATTGATATCATTTAAACAGGATATATAGCGCCCGAAGGAACGTGGCTAGCAGTCTCATTGTTAGATGAAAACGATTCTAAGAGATGACGTGTCAGTTTTAAGTTAGAAACTAATTTGGGATATCACAAAGAGTGAATCAATGGTGTACCGAAACACTTTAGTGTGCGAGAAGTGCCGCTGAAAGTACTGGCATTGTTGGCACGTGTATACAAATAGTTATTTAAAATTCAGTCTATGATAGTTGATCCGGTATTGTGTAAAGACACCTAGCATTTCCTACTTTAATTTCATGCTATTTATGACCAAAATACCCAAATTCAATTTGTTGTGTCATATATTAAAATTTACCTTATACACCTTATACCTAACATGTATGTGTCTTGCATCTCAACAAAAATTTAAACCAACCTCTTATTACGACATGATGTTATTAGAAGCCTAATCAGAGATTTTAATCGCCCAGACATCTATAAGGAAGCCGAAGCAACTACGATGCGTGGAAAACGCCGTGAAGCCAACATCCTGCCTTTATTAAGAGTTAGGCAAATAAAAAAAGACGAGAACCATTTGTTCCGGCTGCCCGCGGATGTCGTTCAAGGGCGAAATTCACTTTTAGATGATTTTAATTATGTTTACAACGGTTTAAGTTAAAATCAATTATGTGAGATTGTTGATTTAAACTTGTTTAGTAACAAATATAGTTTAACTGCTCGTAATATATAGCGTTGAATGCAAATATTTATTTTTATTTTTGAAAATACTCAATCTTGGTTAGTAAGTTTTATTTCTCGTACGTATTATGTATTAACGTATTTTTTCTCTTTCTTCCAGGTTTTCGGCTCAAAAGCAGACCTCCAGTTACACACTCAAATCCATCTTCGTGAAGCAAAGCCTTATCGCTGTACACAGTGTCCAAAGGCTTTCGCTAACTCATCGTACTTGGCGCAGCACTCCCGTATCCACTTAGGCATCAAGCCTTACCGTTGTGAGATCTGCCAGAGGAAGTTTACCCAGCTTTCTCATCTTCAACAGCATATTCGTACACACACTGGTGACAAACCTTATCGCTGCACCCAAATTGGATGTACCAAAGCTTTCTCCCAGCTTTCGAATCTCCAAAGCCATAGTCGGTGCCACCAAACCGATAAGCCGTTCAAATGCAATTCGTGCTATAAGTGCTTTACTCATGAGAAAGATTTACTTGAACACATCCCAAAACATAAGGAATCAAAGCACCTGAAAACTCACATATGCCAGTATTGTGGCAAGAGTTATACGCAGGAAACATATTTAAGTAAACACATGAACAAACATGCCGAACGAGCTGATAAACGACCACCAATCTCCGCACTTGGATTGAGTGGTCTGAATAGGTCATTGGCAGCAGCGGCACCCACAGCTGCACCATTTGGTGAACACCCCTACTGGCCTAAGGTCAGCCCTGATTCAGCGGCGCATATGTCTGATGAAGGTGGGTACCACCAACAAAGAGAAAATGATGATCATCATGAGCAGCAACTGCAGCAACAGCGAGCACTGTTTGCGCAACATGAAAGCCAAGATGACCGCATCCAGCCTCCCGTTTCGGCGGCAAACTCTGCGTTTACGCCCATTAACTCCATGGCGCCTCATCTCAACGGATTGTCACACCATAGCGCTCTTCCAACGCGACCGTATCTCTACGACCCATTGCATTTCCAGCAAGGCAAGCAGCAGCCGAACTCCTTCCCTAACCAGCTGATATCTCTCCACCAGATCAGGAATTATGCTCATCAGCCTTCGGCACTTTTGCCCGCGGAACACATCCTCCCCCACGCGTTATCGCACAAGGATAAGCAGTAATTTACCGTAGGTACCTACACTCGCTATAGTATGTACTTATAATGGTATTACTAGTTATATAATTAACGAAATATTAAAAATATTTAGAATCTCGCTCTTGAAGACAGTGGTATTACGGTTTTAACGTTAGAGAAACAAATTCATGTTTTTAGAAGTAAAATTGTATGGATTACTCTGAATTTTGTGAGTAGATACCAAAATTTTAATGGCTACGAATGTGATTGTGGGGTTATTTTCGAATTTACGGATTATTAATTAGTTTTTTTTTAATTGTTGTACATTTTCTCCCTGTTGGTTCGGGAGTTTGATCGTCAATTATGATCAAAATTGTTCTATTATACTAAAAGTTGAATAAATTTGGAGAAAAAAGACTAGAGAAGTAATAATCACGATCATACGCTTCAACTGTTTTACTTCATCAATAAAATTGTGATACCGCTCTAGATTTTATTAGGATTGATATAATATTATTGTTTTGACTTTTTGTGCTTTTAATGTTGTTGTTTTTTTGTCTTTTTTGTTCATTTCTAAACTTTTATTTCCGAATTTCGATCAAACATTCGTAACAACTTGGAACTGTATATTATTAATAATAGGAAGAAAACTAATTTATAATGCGAATAGAAACTTCGGGTAATGTTTAATTATTTTCATATTTTCATTTTATTTCCATTATACAAAGCATAATATTTTATCAAAGCATAATTTGAACAGTGATTGCATAATAATAATATATTATTTGATAATATTTGAATCAATGTTAAAATTATCTTGTTTTTTTTATTAATTCCTACATTTTAGAGTGAGACTGTATTAGAATCGACATTTTGTAATTTATTCGCAATTTAAAAATAAGTGAACGTATTGTACCCAAAGTTCCTGAGATACGCAAGTATTTGATACAGATATATCTTGAACATCCAGGTCTTATCTTCACATTTCGGTTGCATTTCATTATATTCATTAAGAATTACAGATCTCTTAAGACATCACATTTTGCTCTCAGTTCCTACCTAGTTCATACGAATATGTATTTTTTAGCTTTATCTGTCAACTATCATTTTTAGTATTCTTAATTGTTTAAATTTAGAAAATGTATTCTTCCTAAAATTTGTTTTGTAATGTGAAACACTGAAAAAAAAATTAATTTACTAAGGAAGGAAGGATCGAATATATTTTCTATAAGTGTATACGTTTATGAGTGGCCAAAATTGCTTTTTTACGTCACATTAAGGAAAGTGCACTTTTGTAAATATTTTGTAAATACTGAACAATGTTTTTTGGACAAAAATACATTGAAAATTATCAAGGATGTTTTTTTCTTTTACGAATCTAAAGTGCTTGTGCTCAATTATATTAGCCATAAGAACTCAGGAGTAGAAGGTGTATTCGGAATTGTATAGTTTTGCTATTTCCCGTGCATAAAAAGCTCTTCTTAATTCATTGTTTAGACTAGTTTAATGTATACGAACAAAGAAAATTGTTGATTTTCGTTTTGTTAATTTTAAACAAAACAACGTATGTAGTTAAAATTAATAAAAATTGTGATAGGAGATGGATTGGGAAAGAGTGACTATTTTTGGAGGACTGGCTGTTTTCCTTCTAAATTAATTTGCTATTAAACCTTTTAGTTATAATATTGATAGGTTGTGGTTATTTGTTAGGGGTCCGTGGGGCAAGATGGCCGTCTGTCTGTCACAAATTAGCCAAATCTTTAATTTCTTGTACAAATATGGTTTTATTTCTTTAATATTAAAATAACGGCAATAAGTATATCTTCCGATGAGTTAATAAGTAAGTTCTATTGTATATTTACTGCGACATGACAATGTAACGAGATTTGTATAATTTTTCTTTTTTTTGGATTTAAGGAAATTAAATTCGCCAATATCTCTCTATTTTAAGTAGAAATGTGATATTGTAATCATTTTTTTTAATGTTAATTATAAACTTATTATTATGAATACAATATTTTTGTAAGTATTTTTTTTTTTCGTTGACATAAGTTTTCGCTTTGTCTAGCGTCCTCGTTTTTAAGATTATAGATGAAAATGAACGAAAAACATTTTTTGTTACTTAAAATTGATTAAAAATTAATTACAACTATGCCAAGAATTATATTTTTGTCTTTTATTTTTGTTACCCTTCGTCAATATGCTTATTAAATTATATAAAAAAGCACCCTAAACTCTTGATCATCACATCACATCACACATCAACAGCCTTTAATAGTCCACTGCTGAACGTAGGCCTCTCCTTACAAAGGAGGTTTTGGCCTACTATGACGATGGTTAACGATTATCAAAACTTTCGGATATCTGTTTAGACTACGCAAAAACGTCTTAAATGATATTTGGATTATAGTGGAGGTGTTTCAGTCAAAACCTAACTTGTTCTAACATAGCGGTCAAAGTACTTTTTACTACGTGTCTCTGTGAATGTCATAACCAACACACACACACAACAACTAAGTAATGAGAATAATAACATTTTCGGATATCTTACACACAACGCCATCTAGTTTCAAATTAAGCAGAACTTGTACTAAGAAAGCTAGATTGCCCGATAGAATACTTGTACTTGTACTTTTTTTTGTAAATACATACATATTATACGTAGAAAGAAACCCAAACTACGAAAGAAATATTTGCAGATCATACAAACATTTGATCCGACCCGGAAATCGAACCCGATACAGCAGCAGTCGCATACGCTACCAGTGCACCAAAGAGGCAGTCGCCGTTAATGTTGTGTGTGTATTTAGTTGAAAATGTTTATTAGTCATGTATATTTCGACTGAAAAAGAGGAATCATCTTGCAACTCCAGTACAATCACGCTTTTCTTTTAACCCTATACGAATAAAATCCAAAAGCTGCAGATATCTACCAACATTATCATGTATCTTATCTCATTTTGTTTTTGGTGTGAGCTCAATCACAATGGCCGACTGCCTTCTCGACTCCGAAATCATCACAACAACCTCGAAAAAAGCAAGAAGGTAATTAGGAATATGATAGGAGGCTAGAGTAAGGTATACCACCTGTCTCTAATAGAGGAACGGACTGCAGCAGCTCAAAGAAACCGTGATGGCGCTTTTTAACAGTATAGGGGGGCAAAAGAGCAGACTTCTGTATGTCACTTACTTTCAGGTGACCTCGTGATAATAAGTGATAGACAGAAGTATGTTGCCGCCGTTTGAGAGTCAGAGAGGGGGATGTGAACTCCTGTAACTTCACTTCAGTCACTTGGTGAATGGATCCATGGATCCTTACAATGGTTTAGCCTATGGACGCCTGCAATTCAGGAGTCACAAGCGCTATACGATGAATTATCTCGTCATCAAAGTCGCACTTAGATGTAATTGTGCTGCCCAGGTATTTAAATGTCTTCACTTGCTTCAGCTCATTTTCGCCAATGTACACATTCATAGGTTCTATCGCCCCATGAGATTCCATTGCCATAACCTCAGTCTTCTTCAAACTAATTTTGAGACCGAAACGGCAACAGCTTTCCTGAAGTTTCGTAATCGGGTCCTGAAGCTCTTATGGATAGCTAGATACAAAACACAGATCATCCGCATAAATGATTTCCGTTACTATTGCGTATGATACTTTAGAGTAAGCTTTTAATCTGGCCAGGTTGAAAAGTCCTCCATCACTCCGGAAACGTATTTGATGCCAGCAGAAGTCTGTTCGAGTGCCTCCCTGACAACGACAGAAAAATAGAGAGCAAACAGTGTTGCTGCAAGCACACAACCTTGCTTGACACCGCAGCTAACAGCAAAGAACTCTGATTGATCGCCATTGTAGGTCTCACAGCAGGTCATTTCGTCATGAAGAAGGCAGACTATTCGAACAAACTTCTCGGGACAACCTAATTTTGCGAGTAAGGTTCAAAGGGCTTCCCGCGGCACACAGTCAAATGCTTTCTCCAAGTTCACAAAACACATGTACGACCGAACGATACAGAAATCATCATCATCATACAATATTTGTAAATAAATACAAAAGAAAGAGATTGTAAGACAATGAGTATTTTTTAACACCTACTCATAGTCAAAAGCCGCAATAATAGAATAAATAAAAAACTGTTAGAACTTTCCTCTTTTTATTTAGTTAACAGTCGCAAAATACATTATAATAATTACACACTTAAAATAGGTATTTACAATTACGGGTTCACACTACCTACGTAGGCAAAATCCATACACAAACCATACAAAAATTAAAAAGCTGATGCATAATACTATGAATATGCTAAGGCACCATACACAATGCGAACAGATAGTAGAAAATTTTGAACAAAAAATCTACCATCAGTTGGTTTCCAAAAAGAGCTAGCGAATTTCTAGAAATTTCTCTGACAATAAACTTTTCATCAAAAAAGATGTAGAGAAACTTAAATAAGAATATAAAGAAGTAAAATTAAAGAAATTCGCAGAAGTTATTGGATAGCATATAGTGTCCTCGCCGAACTTAAAACATAAAGGGAATATTTTTAAGTTAATACTTTATATGTATTGTCATTTAGTCGCCCTAATTACTAAACGAGAATCATATAAATTTAGCCTGAAAACAGCACAAAAGACATGAAGAACAAAAGTGTAAAAAAAACAATTTTGATAAATATAAAAATCAAAATCACACTATCGACAGTTGCATACTAAAATGTCACTGGAATTATTGAGAAACAATTACGAAATCAGTCTGGCAAGAAATAAACGAACACAAAAATAAATTTTAAAAATATACGAAGACAATAATTTAATATAAAAGATCATCATATAAAAATGCCTACCAGCTCTAATTAAGCTTTAAATTTAATAACTTAAAAAAAATACCAATAATTTAACAACATTTTACTATACAAGTCGATAATATTAATGGAGTTCGACATATATTATGTTTTTATTTAAATATATCGTTGTTAGCCACCTTCGAAACTGCTTAAACTATAATAGGAAGTTGGGATAATAATATAAACGGTATATTAAATAATTAACTTAATAAGGAACAAGAAAAACACTAAGCGGGTAATGAAAAGGTTTATACGGATAAATATTTATCGTATGGTAGTCTTAGAGATCAATTTTAAAAGATGTATAGAGAAACCTTTTCGTTATCCTACATATAATGTCTAATAACTAAGCTTGCCTGTAATACATAATTAATTATTTAAAACATACTTAGTTATAATTAAGAAAAAGCATTTAAAAATTCTAAAACGCTAGCTGTCTTAATTCATTTTAGTTGTAGTCCACTACATTCAAAACAATTTAAAAGTTGGATTCGATTATGTAACTACTTACATCATCAAATCCAACTTTTATAGTCATTATGAATGCATCCTTAGTTGAATCTTTTTTGTTACCTACAAATCTAGTTATATTGTAAGTTGTGGATAATGCCCAATCAAAACCAATACCTAAATATGTTTTAAACAGAGATTAAAAAACAGAATCTTATATCGACGTCGCATACAGAATTGATTAATTTTAATAAGATGACTAGAATATTTTAAAAAGAATAACATATAAGGATATACTTGAGTACAACTTAAAGTCAATTCATTACCTAATTCAATTTTTTACTTTAATCCTAATAGTACGTTTACATTATTTGGTTTCTTCAAAATCATCATACCGAATGCGTTTGCATTTTTAGGTGTGGCCGAATTTAATTTGCAGGAATACTAGTAGAGTTTGGCCAAATTCAGTGACAAATTAGTAATGGAAATATTGCCGTTGTTAAGTTATTGAAGGACCTATTGAAGTCTCTAACCTATGGTAAAGGATTAATTTGTTCAGCTTGGAATATATTCAAACGTATTCGGCATCCGACCTAATGTAAACGCTCCATTAGAATTTGGCTAATTCTGCATGCGGTTTTTTTTTTCAAATTAGACTTCGACCTTGTAAGGAGATCCGGGGATGTGTTCATCACCCCATTTGACGATGACAATGTAGTCTCCCCTATCTCTGACGACGTACCAGCATTCATAGTTGTTCTTGCCTTTGTGCTTCAGTTGGACCTCATCGCAGGGACCCTTGGGACCGTAGATGCCGACGTAACAAATGTTGGTGCCTGAAAAAAAAATTTGAGGATTTTTAATTGTACTTCTCGGAGGAACACTGTTGTGGCCCCTGTGCTGCATCAATAACAGTGGTAATAGGGACCCAAAAATAGCTACATCATTTCTAGTATTCCAAAAATATAGACCGAAAATAGCAATAAGTTGGAGTATTTTGAAAGACTTTTTTGTATTTATAAAAACGTCCGACAAGAACCAAAAATAACAAAGAAATACCAAAATTGCCATCAAGTCCATAGAAAACGAAAACCAAGCATCACTTACCAGCATCCCCAGCGTGGACCGTGAACTGGTTGTGTTTATTGAGGTAGGCCTTCTTTAAGCCCATGCCCTTGCTTGTGACTTTGCTGGCGTCAGACTTAAAGTTGGGCAGGACAGGTCCAAGTTTTTGTGCAGATTTAGCCACCTTCTGGACCGTTTCTACTGTAACTGATGATGTTTCTTGTGCGCCGATTTCAGCTAGATTTGCACCTGAGAAGTTGATAAAAATAGACTTACTCATTAGGTTTATACAGTAGCTTATTAGTAAAAGATGATTAGGTAGACAAAATTTCCTGTCAATATTGTCGCTCTTTTTTTGGAGTTCCAACTACCCAACCAGGAAGAGTAAATCATCGAATTTAATTTGAACAACGAAATCCATTGCAAGTAGTGATGTTCGTCAAGAAGGTAGCTGATCATCCCCTCGTACGATTTCGGGTTTTTATGAAGAATAACTTAGCTTAACTAATGGCCTATGGGACCTTGTATACTTCGGTTGTAAAAAATCCAAAGCTTTAGAAAAACTTTGGTGCCATTAAAATCTGATTACTAAGGCCTCTGTGAAATTAAAATCTCGTTAAGCTGTCAAAAAAGATGTCAGATAGTCTACTTGTTAACATAACATAACCTAGACAGAAATAAAAAGACTGCTTCTATTTCATCCGAATACTTGGCAAAAGAGTTTTACATAGCAAAAATACCCTTACAGTTTACTTTTCAACAATTTCAGTTCAATATTCTTTCATTATTTCTCAAAACTTACCGGTGGCTTCAATCTTGAATGGTGATCCGACGATATGAGCTCCGTTGTACTTGATACTCAAGTAGTAGAACCCAGGAGCGAGAGGAGTGTAACGTACCTAAACAGGTAAACACAAAACTGAACTATTGAACTTGTATACACTTACATCACTCATACTTAAATCATAAAAAGCCGAAGCCGCAAATAAAAATATAATCAATTTAATGTAGGATCTCACTGTGGTGAGGAATTAAGAATACAGAGTGTCACCCAGTCGACTAAGGGAGCAAAATATGGAGGACAACAACAGTACTGCAAAGAGAAATAAACTTGACACAAACCCTATACCAACTCGTCTAGCCAGTTTGGTATAGTAGGCCAAAACTTTCTTTATAACTAGAGTCCTATGTCCAGCAGGGGCCTATTATGGACTGTTGATGATCATGATGATGATGAAAAAGATACTTAATAGTATTTACTGCTTCACTTACGTAAAAAGAGTATTGAGACAGCTGCTTAAAGATAAGATTAAAGATAAACTAGAGTAAAATACGAGTAAGTTCTTTTTTGTTTTGTGCTACTTTCGATGTGATATTTTAAAGAACTACTGAAGTAACAGATGATTCTTATTCATAAATTTTTATTACGGTTTGGAATCAATATGGATTTCGTTTATTATAAAATATAATCACAAAGGCAATTTTGAATCTTTAATTTGTCTTATTAAACTACAAAATATGTTAAATCAATCAGGTCTATTTTACCCACCTTGTAACCCTCATCAACATCCGTGCAGTCCATAGCTACTCTGGAAGGTCCATCCAAGGTGACGGCCAGTAAACCAACACCCGCATTACAAGTGTCAATTATAAGATCGGTTTTAACACCTGTGGGCAAAGATTTGATCCATATGTAGAATAGCATATAAATTGATATATGTAAAACATATTATGATCATATTTCGGCATCTCTATAAATATTCAAAATATAGGTAAACTTACCTATATTTTGAATATTTGTTGATAACGGTTAAAAAAAATACCGTAAAGTATTTATTGATGTGTTTATGTCACTTTCTTTGTTTACTTTGTTATGTAAACAGTTTCGGAGCAATTATTAACACCATCGAAAAAATTGAACAAAATCGTAGATTTATCGAAAAATTAAAAGAGTTTTCTAAATTGTTTGCACTTACTGATATAAATAATACGAGTAGATATCTACATGATTGTATTTCTTGGGGCCTACTACTCCATATGTACATAAATTATATTTACAAAACACTTTTACATCACGTTTTCACAGAATGATCTAGGGCACCTACGTGTCATAGAGAAAAATAGTACCTACTGAGTCGTGAGTTGACTAAAAAACTTGTTAAAATAACGCGAACCAAGTGGAGGGCAAAACCTAGCTATTTATAAAGTATGTTAACGCTCACCAGTCTTGACTGTGCCCAATCCAGGACCGTGAGCGTGAACCGCCGCAGGATCAGCATCATCCTTTCCAACCTGTTCAAATGAAATGAAATTGTAAAAAAATAATCTCACAGAGTCCACGGAGTATCATTTTTAATCTGCTGCAACTAATAAATGTAAACTCTAACTGTAAAATTTGAAATATTTAAATAAAGATTATAAACAACATGGCCTATGATTTCAAATAAGTATTCACATATTTTGGAGTTTACTCCTCGAGAATCGATTTTCATATAAGACGCCCAGTATGAAAAAAATATGAAGAATAAAATTTAGTGATCGAATGACCTCGTTACGTTATTCGTTACCTGTATTATTTGTATACTTCTGTGCAGCCGAACTTCTTAACTAGTAAACTCTTTTACTTTTTACAATTATTGATCTAAACCATCATACCGGTCAACAATCTTCCTTTTTCCTCCGAGCCTTTCAGTCAGGGTCAAAGGTCAGCTTTAAGTCTACTACTACTAACTTCGATTTTTTATACCTCCACAACCCAAATCCTAGGCGATATCGAAGTTCTGTAGAAAGACTTATCGGACTTTTTAGGGCTCCAACGGTAGTTGTTGTTAACGTTACCCGTACGATTGCCACAGATGTTCGTATGGCAACTGGGACCGACGACTTAACGTGCTATCCGAAGCACGGAGTGCTCTCATTATGTTAAGAATGGTCACCCATCCATAGACTGAATTGGCTAGGATTGCTTAACTTTACAATGTTTTAAGCTTTTCGGTTACCACTTAGCCACGAGCAGGTCAACAATATTAGCGAATTATGGTCATAAGTAAACCCCCAGGCTATCTGCAATACCTTTAAAAATAGAATATACATTCTCATACCTTGATTCTTAGAGGTGAAGCCGGGATATGCACACCGTTGAACTTAACATTGATGTTGTGGACACCGTTCTCCCGCGGCATAAACCTGATGCTGTACTGGTCTCCGTCGATGTTCTGGATGAAACAGTCGTCGCTCTTGCCCGAGGGTGAGGTTACCTGTTAAGAAATGTATATTCCTGAGTTTTACATGCATACACTTTATGTTCCAGAGGAGTACAGAAGCAGATAAAACTTTTATACTGTGGTACCTTAATTTTCTCCAAGTTAGGTAATAGAGGGCTGTAGTGTACTGCTCGCCTTATCTTATATGTAACTGCACACATTTATTTAGAACATTATTAAACCGATTATGGAATCGAACAGTTGTCTATAATTTACATACGCCACATGGCGAACCTTAGCTAGCAGTTTTTCATTCATAGAAGACTAGAAGTAGCTGACTAGAAGATTATTGAAGAATGTAAATTGAGGAACGTTAGAAGAATGAAAATGTTGATTTTGAAGAAAGACGATAAAGACTACTTATAGACGATTTTAGAGAAGGCAGAAGTCAAAAGACCCTTACAGAAGAATACCATGAAAGAAGATCAAATATAAATCTGGTTCGATTATCGATCGATCTCTCTCTCGATTCTTGATATTTTTGATGATGTTGTGTGTTGGTGTCATTAATTTTTGTAAACCGCACATACATTTCTAAATAAACATATTTATAGATTTCTAAATATATTACATACATATTATAGATAAATTACACCCACACACAGAACCAATGATCGTGCTCATCATACAATATTTTGTCCTGTGTGGGAATCGAACCCACGAACTCTCGTCTTGTTGTGTACATATTTAGGAACATAGCTAAGAACGAATTTTTTTTTTTTAATGTATTTTTAAAATGCTTTTTAAAAATACATCAAAATTGTACACAATTCTCAGAAGCAAAAGGGCATAAGTTACCCTATCCTATATTAATTTTTATGGCGTAACATAGCCCCATATTCATTGCCTCGGTCATGTTAGCACGCTGTTATAAAATATTAACGGGACAAGATTTATTAACGCAACAGTCACGTGCCAAGAGGTCGTTTTATTACACTTTTTTGGCCACACCGGCACACTGTGCGAATATATTGTTTTAGTTCGGCCCTTGCTGGTAACGAGGTTCGCCAGATGGGCAGACTGAAATCTTTGGGTGAAATATTGAATAATCATTATTTTGTGACTATTATTATTAACAACTAGCTGGTTCGTAAGTTAATCCTTATATAGACAGCTACTTGGTAGTAAAATATTATCAAAATCGGTCTAGCCGTTTTGAAGATTACCCCGAACAAACAGACAGACATAGAGACGGACAGAAAGGCAGACAGACGGACAAAAAAAATATTTAACCTGGTTTTTAGGAATAGGTATCGAGCAAATAACCGTGTTAGCATGAAAAAACCTATTACTTTGACATTACAAACAAACACTTCAATTTTATTTATTTGTATAGATAAATAGTTAAAAAAATAAGGTCACTTAGGACCCATAATGTTTTGTGTCCGTGTTACTTCCCTGTTTATTAGGGTGTATGCCTATTTTTACTTAATTTTTGTCTCTTTTTGAATTGCTTTGGCCAATTCCATTCTGATTAATTTCATTTCAGGTTCATAGAAAGTATAATTTTTCCTGTGTGTCATAACTTGGCGATTTCGTGGGTCACTGCTGTTAATCATGGTGCACAGGAGTTACTGGCCGTGTGATTAGTAGGGCAAATAAATACATATAGTAATATTTAAATGAAAATATTCGATTTTATTATACTGGCTAGTAATTGCTGAACCGACGGTCACGAAATCGATACTTATCTTGTCTTGGTTTAATTTATCCATAATATATATGTATTTAGAAATATTAGAGTACATTTTAAAGCCTCGTCTAGTTTAAGATCAGACAGCCCAAGATATATGAAGTAATTTATTATTATATTTGTGGTATACAACACAAACTATATTTTCTAAAATCACACAGGGTTGTTCTTAAACATTGCTTTGAATCTCACAAACATAGACACCTCTGAAGAAATCTTACGAAAAAAATGTGTTCCCTAAGCGCGAAATAAACGCAGGCATGATACGCGCCATCGATCATGAAATCTCGTATGCCGGACATGGCATGTTCTCACAATAAATCAAACTGCCCCCTGTGCCCACTGTGCATCTAGTTTATTACTTATATTATTGTCCGGTTCTTGGGATGAATGTTGAATGTCTGTTTGAATTTTGATTTATTGACTGTTCGGGACTATTTTTGGCATGTTATATTTTGTACAAAAGTTCATTCTTCACGATTGAGAAACAATATGTAAAATATCCATGAACTAGCTTCTGCCTGCAGCTCCGCCCGCGTGTATGTTGGTTGTTGAGGTAAATAATAGCCTTCCTCAAGAATCAAACTATCTTCATACTAAATTTTATTTAAATCGGTTCAACGGTTATTGATTCCTCATACAAACTTCCACCCCCTTTTCATCCCTGGACTGTTTTTGGTATAAAAAATATCCTATGACCTTTCCCGGGACTCAAACTATCTCTATAGCAAAATTTTATACAAATCGATTCAGCGGTTTTGGCGTGTAGAGGTGACAGACAGACAGGCACACTCTCGCATTTGTAATATTAGTATATATTAAAGTTAGTACTTTAAAAATAAAGGAAAACAGTTATCAGAGCTGCAAGATGCCATAGATAATATTTAATTGACACAATAATAATAATATAACACATCACACAAACGCCTATAAATCGAAATTTTATTATTTATTTATTAATCGAAATTTAGACGACCGGATGACGTAGTGGTTCGATTCCCGCTCAAGCCAAACATTTGTGTGCATGAACTTTTAATATTTGATTTGGTCTGGGTGTTTCTATGTATAATATGTATGTATTTACAATAAAAAAGTATATATGTATTTATATCAGTTCTCTAGTACAGATAGTACAAGCTCTGCTTAGTTTGGGACTAGATTTAGTTGTGTGAATGTAGTAGAATATTATTATATTACATTATTATAATTCCAAATTAAGTAGAGCCTGTACTATGGTAACCAGACTGCTGATAAACATACTTATATATTTCTAAACACATACATATTATAGACTGCACGGATGGCGTAGTGGTTTAAGCGGTCGCCACGCCGCTTCCCAATGCGCCGAGTGTTGTGGGTTCAAACCCCACATGGGACGATACTTTGTGTGATCCACAAATTGTTGTTCTGAGTCTGGGTGTTCTTTGTGTCCGTTTCATGTATGTTTGTAAAGTCCCCCGCGACACAGGATATATTCCTAATGCGGGAGTTGCTTTTTAAAAAAAAAAAAAGGAAAAAAAAAAAAAAAAAGATAAATTACAGCCAGACATAGAACAATGATTGTGCTCATCACCCAAATATTTGTCCTTGGTTGAAATCGAACCTGGCAAACCCGGATCTTTTTTCAACTCCAGAAAAAGACATTTCCTATATTTAATTCACCCCTAAAATTAATAACAAACTTACCCTGCTATCTAAAGTACCCTTAGCCCCATTGAGCCTGATGTAGAACTGGGTAGGTTTGTCAACTTGCGCCGAGTCTGGGAACTGGGCAACTTCCAGCAGATATGCGTCTCCCACCGCTGGGGAAATGTACACCTTGAAGGGTGAGTCTGGGATGTGCTGTTCGTTGAACTTGAGACCGATGCGGTATTCACCTGTATAATAAAATATCAATGAGTAACGTTATGATCATAGACACTTATACATACCTATATTATAAATGTGTAAGAGAGTTTGTATGTTTGTTACGCTTTCACGCCTAAACCACTAAACTGATTTTATAAATTCTTTTACCAATGGAAAGCTTCAATGTCAGCGTATAATATAGGCTACCTTTTACCGCGATAAGCGATAAACACGCAGGCGGAGCCGTTATGAAAGAAGATAGAAGGTTCGGGTACGCCGAGCTGGCGAAAGTCTAGGCCAGCGTCGACCTCAAGGCCCTAGGGGTACAGGGCGTCCGGTTAAAAACAAACGGACGGGAGCCCGGCTCCTCGAGGTCCCCAAAGCCGACGCCCTAGCGGCTAAGCTGAGGGATCACTGGACGCAGCAGACGTCAGGCAAGTTATGTAGTAGTTTAAATAATATTAAACCAAGTTTGTTATTAAGGTTTTATAATTTTAAATAAAATTACACATTATCAATTTCTACATTTACAACAAAATAAATAATCAATTTTTACATTTAAAATAAACTATTTGGATAAAAATACGTGTTAGAAATGACAAGTCAAATAACGTTATATATTTAACTAAATAGCAGACAATAGTTACTTTACAAAGTTTTCATAAAACCAACCTCAATTTCTTTACAACAAATAGAAATCAAACACCGGAAAGAACTTGACAACCTAATCTGGATACAACCACAAAAACTCGGAAGTCCCAATTACGTTCCAAATCGATTCTAACTACCACCCGAAAATGCCGACAAATATACTAATAAATTTGCAAACAGCTAAAAAACCCGACGAAACATACAAAAACAGATCTTATATTGTTTAAATAAAAGAAGTAAAAAGAAGGACAGTTGATGTCACTCAGTATAACAGACTAACGATGCAACCAATAATTCTTCCACCAAGAGATATTTAAATCTACGATAATTTTAGGGTTCCGTGGAGAAGGGGTTTCATTCGACTAACTCGGTGGTGCAGTGGCAGTGTATGCGACTGCTGTGCTGAGCTCTCGAGTTCTGCAAGTATTTGTTTCGAAGTTTGGGTGTTTTCTATGTATAATAAGTGTGTATTTACAAAAAAAAGGTATATAACTATTCTTTCAGTTAATCTGGCTTTTGTAGTACAAGCCCTGCTTGGTTTGAAACTTCCGTTGTGTTCAGATGTCTGAAAATATTATTATTATTCAATTTTTGTGTAAGACCTTCTTCTAATCGCAAATTTATTTCGGATCGATGGAATGCGTTTACTTCTTCCATTCTCCTCTATCACTCATAAGTTTACTGCTTTTTCCCATTCTAGTCATATCCTCTATCACGCAGTCCATCCATCTTTGAAAGTTCGTCGTCTAATATTCATCAACTTCCACACTAAAACTAAACATAAAACTTTTGTTCATCTTAACGCATCATATCACATCAGACATATTTGTATAAGACTGGTTTACCTTATTTACTCTTTATAGTGCTAATTTATATCCCAGTCTTAGTGGACATTCGGCTACATGACCCCGGCCCCATATTTTTCTCAAAAAATAAAAATACATACCACACGTTTGTGGTGTAAATATTTTCATTTATTTTAATTTTGAATTAGCATGAAGACAACAATGTTCCGATTTTCAAAAGTGCGAATTTCATAATACCTAAGAATGATAATGTCTATTATTAAAAATCAGGAAACTTATTTTACCGAAAGTCATAAATGCAATGTGTTTGTTTTCCGATTTTTATACGTTCGAAGAATCAAATGCTCGATAGGTCCTCGGTCGGTAGAAAAACAACATTCCGATTTTAAATGCTTCGACTGAACTGCTTAAATTAAGATTTTGATTCAGTTAGTATAATATTCAGTTGTATGTATGCGCATACATATTCAAAAGCTATAAGTAACGTTTAATGAAATTTAAGAACGTCTACTTTGTTTTTAACATTTGTGTATTAATATTTTTTTGTTTGGTTTTTGAGTCCGTGTAGTGACGGATTAAGAATACACAATGTCACTACCCTAATTCATCTCGTGGGTCTCGTAAGAGCCGACTAAGGGCGCAAAATAACGCAGGACAGCAGCACCTCAAAAAGAAGGAAAACTTGACATCAACCCTATAATAACCCGTCTGGCCAGTGTGGTACTGCTTTCTAAGGAGAGGCCTATGTCCAGCAGTGGACTATTAAAAGCTGTTGATGAATATTATTTTTGTGTTTTCTTTTTCTCCTGCGTCGGTTGCCATGCTTGTATCAAGAACTTTCTTTTTAAAATTTTCATACGGCCAAGCTTCTCCACACTCTAGAAATATTGTCGCAGTCTCAATTGAAATAAATTTGTGCAGAACCCCTTCCCTCACCATTTGTTTCGTGTTTAACCATCTTTTTCAATATGAAAGAGTTCTCCACGGTGGCCATATAGTTGTTACGGATTTATTTACATCCCAAACGGACGTTTTTCGATAAGGTTTTTACTGATTGGTAGAAAAAATATTCGTAGACTTTTTCGAAAAAGATCCTTTTGTTTCGAAATAAGTTGGCGGTTGGTGGCATCATAACGGTTAACTATAGTTAAAATGATTTTCATAACAAAATGATAATAGTGATACTAATGATTCGACGGGCATATTGTTCTATTGGTAAGTGATCCTGACAGCTAAACCAGAGGTTGTAGATTCGATTCCCACCTTTTTTTTTCTTTTTTCTGTGGCTATGTCGTACTCGAACCGACTAAAAACCGCACGCCGTCTCGGGTACCAGTAGCCGAGGAACCAGGTTTACCCCAGAAAGGAAATCCCTGGTACCCCGACGTAGCTCGGGCCATCTACGGCGGGTAGACGACCCTCTAATGTGTGGGAACCCTCATGTTCCCTTTGTGCTCTCGCCGCCACCCTAGCCTGCTTCTGCTAGGGTGACAGATGGCCTCACTTATCAAACTCAGGCCTGCGCTTATGGAGGATGGAGGTCATTCTGCGACATCCGGTGCCTGATTCATCTGCGGTACCTGGCCCGTTCCCGAGCCTGGCATTCCGGGAGAGTTCTAAACCACTCCCAGTCCCGCTGCGCCATCTCTATATAGAAATATTTAGGTATAAATATACCTATCAGCACTCTGTTTAACATAGTATAGGCTCTACCTAGTTTGGGATCATACGTCCGTATGTAATATGTGTGAAGTTATTATTATTAAATTATATAATAATCGCTTTCAACCGACAAAAGTTACCATAATCTTTATTGTTTTTTTTAAATAATTTTTAAGTTTCTCGCTCCATGATATATCATCGTAATAGTATATTTCTATTATCTAAGATATTCTACGTAGTACGGGAGTATTCTACATCGTTAGGTGCATCTTCATTAGATGCCATTGAAAAACGTTTTTTACTTGCATGTTGAATCGCCACAAAATAATTTATTTATACGAGATATACAGTTGACCGCGGGAGATTCATGCTTATTGCTTAGGTACATTTTTTTGTGACTTTTTATCGAGTGTCATCATCAACAACCCCTAACAGTCCACAGCTGGACATAGGCCTCTCCTCACAATGGAGGTTTTGGTCTACTATACCACGCTTGCCAGACGGGTTGGTATAGGGTTTGTTTCAAGTCCGGATGTCTTAATCCCGTCCCGGTGGGGTGACGGCCCGAAGGGGTTTCCACACGTAAAAAAAAAGGGTTTGTTTTAAGTGTTCCTCCATTTTGCAGTGCTGTTGTCCTGCGTAGTTTGCTCCCTTATTCGACTCTTACGACATCCACAGGATCAATAGACACCTACTCATGGTGACACTCTGTATATTTAATCCGTCACCACACGGATATCGAGTGAGTCTGGTGGCTGACCACCAGACCTTGCACCTACCGACTATTACTTTTTCCAAAATTTAGACAACTTTTTGGTGGGTAAAAAATTCAATTCCCGAGAGGCAGTACAAAATGCCTTTGAAGAGTTTGTTGCCTCCCGTCCAGCTGATTTTTACAAGAAGGGCATCAATAAACTGCCAATGCGTTGGCAAAGATGCGTCGATTGCATGGGTGATTACTTCGAATAACAGAAATAAAAAAGTTTGAAAAAATAAGTACTTTCACTTATTGCATACAAAACAGCAATTTCATAGGTAAAGACCTATCCTGATTTCTAGCGGGAGAGCGTTCCAGAGTAGTATGGATTGGATAATTGTGATTCTTTCAAACGTATTTTTTTCACGTGTTAAACTCTATATTCGTGCACAAAAACTTCCTATTATCATTTCATCCACTATTTTTCCTTCGCGTAATTATAAATTTCCATATATAAATTTCCATTTCCATGTGGCAGGAAACAAATTTCATTAAACACGTGGCAGGTTTACAATAAAGATTATTGTATTCTAAATTAAATCATTATTATAATAGTTTCACCCGATGAGGTCAAGATTAAATTTTGCATACCTAAATATTATTATCTACCTATTTGTATATTTCAAAAGTTAAGATTTAAAATGGACTATTGAAGCTGAATTTAATTATAATACATTTCCATATATGTATATATACTCTATAGTACACACTTCACGTAGTATGCATGTTATATTATATTGTTATTTTATCTGTCACATTATATACCTACATTTCCTATTTATTATGTATACACACATCATATTTCATACTCATACACACACACACTTTCATAATTTTTTTTTTCTTAGGTATGGTATTCTTTTTTGTTCTCGGATACATATACATATAAACTTTCCGATTGTGTTCCTTTTTATTAAAATAAAACCTAATTAATTTTTCCCAATTTCATGTGTTTTCGTTGCTTGATAAATTTGGTATTTATCTCACTTTTATCATTTTGATATACCCCATGCAGACACAACAACGGATTGTCGACAACCCAATAACTGAAAGACTTGTTAAAACTCCATTGTGAGCGATTGCTGCAGGATCAGATAATCAAAATTTTCTGCTTTAAATATTGTTTTCATCTATTTTTTTTGGGTTAGTTTCG